TCTATCTATCTATCTATCTATCTCTATCTCTCTCTTTCCCTCTCTCTCTCTCGGCCTCAAGTCCTGTTTGAATCCCTCTCGAAGTCACTCACTGTAGCTCTCACTCAACCTAACTATGGCTAATGGCGCCCAGCACTGTCGACTACTTCCTCCTGCACAGCACAAAATTGAGAATCCCAAAATAGCGCAGCACCGCTTTCGTCTGGTCATGCAAGTGAATATGTGCTGACAACCTTAAGAGCTGGACTTTTGTACCCAATTATTTTGGCTCCCGGACTTCCTCTATGGGTTATGGAATGGTACCCTTTACCTTTGTTTGCCACTTTTGGAATTTTTGCAGACTTTTTTGGGACTTCGTTGCCAGGCAGACCGACTGACAAATAGGGCCTATCGACTTCTTCGGACTTTTCCTGAATCGACCCGTACCTACCAGAATCTTCCTATATCAGTCTACTGACATTATCCAACATGGGACTTGGTAATATGGTACATGTGATCAAGACGGGGGCTGGAACTGGGATTGGGATTGGTACCACGTTGATAGTCGTGAAATCCTTTCAGAAAGAGGTTTAAAAGTCTATTCTGATCATAAGATCATCCGCTGCCTAAAATATATATTTGACTTTGAGTTGAGACCAGAGAAAGGGAAGTACAATGTCATCACTGAAGCATTATAACAAAGAGCACATTTCTTTGGACTGATTACCACCTACTTAGAGGGAGGGAAGGACCTGGAGCTGAAGATTAGAGATGCCAATCAAGTAGGTCCCATGTAAAAGGAAGTGATAGCAAAGGTTAGGGAGAAGCCGCATAAATGGTCTGATAATAGAATAGCAATTGGGTTACTGTTTCTCACAGCTAATAATGAAGACAGACTATAGATCTCAGTCAGTGAAGTAGTCAAGAGTGCCATATAAGGAGAAGATCACGATCAGAGGGACACTTCAGCTGGAGGAAGACTTATGCTAGGTTTGTTACGGACTCCGCCAGGGCTCGATCCCTGGTCTATCTTTTTGCTGTTTCGGCTGCATCGCGTTTTCGGCCTGGCACCCTTTTTCCAAATCCCTCCTTTGGTACCGTAGGATTTTGGACCACTGGCGCCATGCTGCAATTCGGGCGCTTCTTTCAAATACCGTATTTTTCAGTTCTGCCCTCGGGGCCTTTGCAGAAATGCCCCTGGCACCATACGTGTCACCGGTACTTATACCGGCTCCCCGTACGGTACGGGGACCAGTCTCGTACCAGTTTCCTGTTGTACTCGTACTCAGTGTGACTTGCTTCGACATGGTGTTCGGAAATCCAAGACTTCGACTTTGCGACTTCGCCACTTCGTGTCTGCGTCGAGTTGAGTGAGTGTGTGTGTGTGCTCTCACTCTCTCCCTATCTCTCTCAGCCTCATTGCCTCAGCCCCGTCACACTGGTATCGGAGCGGTTCGAACCCGCCCAACCCACCCTGCTTCGTCGTTACCACCTGGCCATCATCAGCATCATCGTCGTCGTAGCACCACGTCATCGTCGTGACCGTTGCCGTCGTGCCACGTCATCATCGTCATCGTCGCGATCGTCGTCATCGTGCCACGACATCATCGTCACCGTCGCGCTCGTCGTCATCATGCCACTTCGCCATCGCCGTGCCCGTCGTCCTCGTCGCCGCGCCGTGCCATCCTCGACATTGTCGCTGCCACCGCGCAGATAAGTAATCGACGACAATTTTCTTTTTATTATTTTTATTCTTTTCTTCTTCTTCTTCTTCTTATCTTCTTCTTCTTCTTCTTCTTCTTCTTCTTCTTCTTCTTCTTCTTCTTCTTCTTCTTCTTCTTCTTCGTCGTCGTCGTCGTCGTCGCGACTCCGCTCCCGCTCCCGTGCA